AGGGTATACAAAATCTCGAAACTCTCACCACAAGCATCTGCCATTCGCATAGGGGATGGGCTGTGAGTTCTAAGCGATCTATATCCACAGGGTTTGTATTCGTCGCCAGTCCCACAACTGTCTCTGTGATGCCTCCTGCGATGAGTCATAGTACACACACGTGTAAGCCTGTGACCCTCCCCCCAACCCTCAAGAGACGCCTCTCCGGGGAGGTACTCGAGGGCTTGCTCTCTCGAGTGTAGGAGGAGTTTACCTCCTCCGCTTTTCTCGTGGAGATTGAAGTTGTTTTATAGTACACACACGTGTGAGTAAACAAGTTGTTTTATCCGGGTCGAACGTATATAGTGGGTTGAAATAGGGAAGTACAGGTATGATTAGAAAGAAATATCTTTGGAAAATGTGATAGAGTCTAATAGACATATGTGTAGCTTACCACTCTCACTGAAGAAATATCGGCCTTTCAGGTGATATCTGAACCGAGACAAACACATGAGCACGAGTAGTATTTAGTGGGACAGAGGTCCACACAGACATACTATATCATGTGTGAATAAAGGTATGCCACCCTACACAAGATTATATACATCTGGCACAGACAACCACACAGACATACTATACCATGTGTGAATGAAAGGATACCACCCTACACAAGATTATATACAACTGGCACAGACAACCACACAGACATACTATATTATGTGTGAAAACACGTACACCACCCTACACAAGATTATATACATGTTGTCTGCCTAGACCCATATATGAATTGCAAGTTACTTACCCTGCTCTTTCTATCCGAGAGCCGCACACATATACTATATCATACGTGATTAAAGGTATACCCATCTAAACAAGATTATACACCTGTTCTCTGTGTAACAGCATAAATGGGTTGCGGTCACCTACCTGTGATTTTTTGTTCGCCTATGATATAAAGTTTTAGGGTTTTAGGGTTTGTGATAAACCTTAAAACCCTATTACCCTATATAAGGGTTGCGGTTTACCTACCTATGCTATTTTTATTCGCCTCCGGGGGTGGTGGTCCGTGGGGTGTTAACGAGTACTGAGTCATTGCTCCCAGGTGATTGGTAATGAACAGATTAGTGCTGATCGCAGGCGGCGTAGGTTGCTAAAGCGGGACGGGGAAAGTGGGACGTATTCAAATGAGTATTCAAACTATTAATAGACCATAAGTGATGAGTCATTGCTCCCAGATGATTGGTAATAAACAGATGAATGCTGATCACAGGTGGCGTGGGTTGCTAAAGCGAGACGGCAAAAGCGGGACGTATCTATACGAGTATCCAAACCATTCATAGGGTTTAGGGTTTTAAAAACCTAATTTCAGGTGACTAGTTATAAAAAGGTTTGTGCTGATCGAGAGACGGAGGCGAGCTGATAAAACGGGACCGTAAAAGCAGTACACAGTATATGTATGTATCTATGCATGTATAACTGTAAATGTATAGCTAA